TTGCGGTTTAGTGTATTATCTTTTTCATTTGAGTGCTCATTTGGAGAATATTTAAATGTTCTGTGAATAACACATGGTGTCCATGGGTGGACATGGAACCATTAAGTTTTGATGCTCTCATGAGGATATATTATATTGGTTTCATCACGGAAACATCTTGAGCACCACTATACCTTTTGTATTTTATACTTTTGAAGAGTATTAAGTTCCACCTTTGTTTCTTCACATAATGAATATTCCTTTCATGTTGGTGTTTGGCATTTTCCCTGGAGAAAAAGGAAGTTGCACTAAGCTAATGAACAGCATCAATACTATGCCTTTTGTGATTGTCTGGCATTTGTCACAATTAAGTATGTCATACAAAGGTTTCATGGTACAAAATTTGATTGCAGCACCTCTATATAACTCTACGTCTGTACCTCTATAAATGAAAAGGGGAAGTATTTATTCTGTTTTGCTTACAGATAAAACGAAAAAATACAGAAGAAACAGGATCTCCCTTCCGGAGTGGAGAGTTTTGAATGTTTATATGCTATTTAGTGGCTGTTGACTCAAAAAATCCCAAACTTGTTCATTTCACAGGCGGAGCCTTCTCCAACCACAGGGTCCCTTTTTAAGTCTCAATTGATGCAAGGCTCTGGTGGAATTACAGCATTGTCATTGGGTAAACATTGTTCCAGTGGCAACGCTATTGACCAAGGAACATCCAGCAGTTTCAAGTTTAAGTTTCATTCTGGATCTAGTTCTGCGCCGCGATTATCGTCGATGGGAGTGGCGGTAATGCTCTAAGGCTCATTATTTTCTTGATAGAACTCTTTCTATATGTTAATATATACACACACCATGATGCATACATCTCCATGTTTGGGTGTGGGTGAATGAACGAATGACACCAAATGATCATTTCATTTTCTATGGTGAGGGCATATGGAATATACCATAAAAAGAAGCAAATAATTCTCTTTTATTGTTTCTTCCTAATACGATTTGACATATAAACTCATTTCATTTTTTTAGAACATGGTGATAGTTCTTAAAAAACTTGTTTGGTCAAAAAATGTGCACATTTTTTGTTTCCTTAATACTATATGATCACCAGTGGTCGTGGTTATTAAAGATCTTTCTTAATTCCACTCATTATTTCTGGATATGTTTCGTGAACAAGATGATGGTGTTACATTTATTTAACTTAGAGCTTCCATCTGTGCTGCACTTTCCCAGTCTTTGTCAAAAACAATGCTAACAGCTGGTGAAACAATGGATATTAAATTCAGTACACTTTGTAATTCTCTTGCGTACTACCATGTTAACAATTATTGTAAATTATATGGTTGAAGGCTTGGAGCTGAGACTTGAGCATGTAGATTTGAAATCCTGAAACTGTTCAACTCACCTTTTGGATAAAATTTCATGAAATTTAACTCAATGTCCTTTATTCTTTATGCTCATTGTCTTTGAATTCTAGCTCCCCTATGAGAGTCAAAGAACTCGCAAAATTTCAACCTTTATTTATGAATATTGGATGATTTTGGTTTTGGTACCCCGAATCATTTGATTTTGTCAAAGATTTCTGCAGGTTTGGACAGGCAGCAGAATGGACCCTGCAGTCAAGTTCAAGATCAATTGTTTTCAGAGTCTTCAGTATCTTCGTTTTTTGTTACATGTGAGCTTCCAAGCTCAAAAGATTTGAGAATATCTGCACCCAGAAGTATGCCTACTTCATCAGTTTGTGATGTTGTTGATGAGTCAAATCAGGAAGATCAGTCCAATTCCCACATTCAGTTGTCATCTACTGATAATAAAGATGGTGTTTCCTTAACAGGCGAGAGAACATCAGATGATGGGTATAACTGGAGAAAATATGGGCAGAAACTTGTTAAAGGATGTGAGTTTCCTCGAAGTTATTATAAATGTACATATCCTAACTGTGAAGTAAGAAAGTTTTTCGAACGTTCTCCTAGTGGAAAGATAACCAAAATTGAGTACAAGGGCTCACATGGTCATCCAAATCCTCAACCCGTTCGATATAATGCTGGTGCTCTTATGTCCATGCAAGAGGACAAATTGAACAAGGATTTATTGTTCAGTAGTCAACTGGGTAATTGTACTAACTATTTGATAATTCCTCTTAGCATAAATTATGCACCATAATGCAAAACTTAATTAGTCCCATTGTGCTTTTTTATGTTGCTCACTAAAATGTGTGTTCTCGTTATCATTTTATTATCTTGCTGAAGACAAGTTGAACACCAATATTCTGAGTAGTAGCGTGGAGCCAAATATATGTCCAGTGCTGTCTCTTCAGCAAGCAAATGAGGAAGGTATAGATGGCACAGGTTCAGAATTTCAGGCCATTGATGAAGATGATCCATTTTCAAAGCGGAGGTAATGCCATTATACAAATGCATTAGATTTTCACTGTTTTTCCATGATAACTTTTTTTGAACTCTTAGCAGGAAGATAGAGGATGATCTTGATGTTACACCAGTAATTAGACTCAATTGTGACGCGCGTGTTGTTGTTCAAACTGTGAGTGAGGTTAATGTACTGGATGATGGATATCGTTGGCGTAAGTATGGGCAGAAAGTGGTCCGAGGAAATCCGAATCCCAGGTATGTGGTCAAGTTCAACATACGTTTAAAGTTTGAATTTGAATTGAGTTGTACTCTCATTTTGGACACACTGCATTAAACCTCTCTGGTTTTGAGATAAAATACTTATACCTGCTTGATCTGGGATTTAAGTATATCTGAACTTCTGTTTTTATTGGTTTCACAACAGTTTTAACCTTTACCATTTTGACTAGCTTAAACTTCATGCGAGTTTTGTTCATATTAGACCATCATTACAAATTTTGCCCCATTCACTAATGTAAGCTATTAAAGATAACAAATCAATCCTCATAGGAAAAGAAGAAGTTAAAAGGGAAAAAGGTCAATTTTTTTTATGGAATTAAAAAAGAATAATGCTGAAAATGAAGTTTGCATCTAAACATGTGAAAGTGTTGCACACCATTTGGCCTCTACTATCTGTGTACTTGCAAGCAAATCATGCGGACTCAGTGTTTCCCCCAGAAGCTGATAGAATACCAACAACTGCATGTTTTCCTTAATTTTTAAGAATAAACTTAATATTAAATGGAATCTTTACTACTAAAGCAGTGAAAACTAGGGTGGGTTTGCATTCGTTTGGATCTAGCTGATATTTTGTCGCCTTGTACACATACTTATGGACTTGAAAGTACTTTGCTTGAAATTGTCCTTTGCATGCAACCTCTTATCAAACCTTCTACATTTTTCTGCGATGAAGGAGTTACTACAAGTGCACAAATGCTGGATGTCTAGTCAGGAAGCATGTTGAAAGGGCATCCCATGATCTCAAAGCAGTTATAACTACATACGAGGGTAAACACAACCATGACGTCCCGACTGCTAAGAACAGTAGCCATGAATTTGCAGGAACCACGCCATTTAGTGGTACTTCTAGAAAGAAGCCAGAAGATAAAGGCTCGCTTAGCCTCGATCTTGGGGTCGGAATTAACCAGAGTCAAACTATTGAGCAGATGCGCAACTTGAATGCTGAAACTGCACAAAGCCAAATTCCACCTTGTGATTCCAGTATGATGATAGTACAACCATCACAAATCCCTCTTTATGGTTTTGAATGGAGGGTTGAATCTGTACGGAAATAGAGAAAATCTTGTTGAAGGGCTCAACTTTCAGAGTCAGCCTGTACTAGCTCCTAGCCAATGTCCTCAAAACCTTGGAAGAATTTTTGTGGGTCCATAAA